TTACGCCGCCGTTGTATCTTATTTCGCTTGTAAAGTGCTCGGGGACTGATATTAACACCGGCCTCGCGAACTATATATAAAACATATCTCCCGCAACTTAAGAACTCTTTATTGACGCTGCGGGAAAAATAGCTGTCGCTCTTGCCGCGTTAACTTTTAATATCCAGACAGAAAAATCACATGTGTGTGGGCTATAAGTTGTTGCAACTCTGCAAAACTACACGACGGCTGCATGGTAAATGAAGAGGCGGGGGATGAAATGTTTTATGGGCTGCCGGTTTAAAGGAAAAGCTCGCGAGCTCGATCTCGTTTCTAAAACGTGGATAAGATCAACCTTCGTTTGCGAATGGTAATGGGGGTAGTTTCCGTGTCTGATAACGTTTCCTCCTCCTTTTCCTGAAGGAAACTTCTCCCCCTCCTCGCGCACACACTCGTCTACGGACGGGGCGTGCACGTATGCGGCTTAAAGTGTGCCAGACTACCCCGCAAATTGTCCCACCGAAAGCTTCTCATTCAAGAAAGATCGAAGAAGGCAAGGTAATGTGCAAGGCGGCGCGTACGGTGAATCATTTCGTATCACCATTTTCCGCGAAAAATCAGCATTCCATGAATTTTCCGACGGCGAAAATTTTTATTCTGTCTCGCGATCACATCCGCGTATATATTTTCATATATGTGGAACAGAATGTTATATTCCCGTAGCTTTGACGCACCACACACGCGCTATCTTCTTAAATTTATAATTTATGTACATATAAGGTCGCGGGGAAAATACTACAACGTTATTTGAAACTTCGCAGTGAGAAAAATTCCGACGTCGCGTTTCGAGAAGTTTAAATAACGCAAGTTTGAGGAGGAAAAAATAACGTTATAAATCATCATGTTTTACTAATTTTATCTCTGCATTCTCGCGCGAATCGAAGTAACTGAAGCGTCGTGGAAATGTTACCTATTGTATAAAAATAGGTGAAATATACTCGACACAGAAATAGTGAGAGAGAAAGAAAGAAGCGGTACGTGCCGAAACGCGATTTCTTCTGGATTTTTGTGTTTCCACAGAAGAAAATGCTGCTTTTTCCAATCAAAAACAACGCGGTGGCGGTAGCATCGTCGTCGTCGTCGTCGTCGTCGTCGCGCGCGATTTCGCGCGACAACGCGCGAAAATAAACGTCCGCGTCGCTCGTTAACGCGAACGTAACGGATAGTCGTCGTTTATTGCGAGCATTTCATCTCCATTAACGATGACACATTTCCGGCGTCGTCGCAGCGATGAAACGCAGCGCGCGCGCGTGAATATGTAGTCTCGGCGAGCGAGCGAACGAACGACGACGGGACAACGCGATATAGAAAGAAAGTAGGTCTCTGCCAGAGACGTCGCCATTGAAAGTGTTATATTTCCGCTGATGGGGAGAAAACACTACGGAGAGATTTATAATGACAATGCCGTGTGCACATGTGTGCGGCCGAAAAAAACGCGGGCAAAAAGAGAATTCTCGCGAATTTTGAATAAATTTTTTTTTGTGCAACGCCCGTGTCACATCCCCGACTCGCTCTTGTCGTCGTTGCAAATAAGCGCGTTCGGTGCTTTTTCTCTCTCTCTCGTTGTGCTCTCTAACATCCCCGAAAGGCACACAAACACGAGAGAAAGTCAGGATATATATGTATATGTATATATATACATATATATTTTAAATAGCAAGCCTTTTACGAAAATCAAGAAAGAACGTGCAAAAAATATCGCCGAGATGAACTGTCTCTGTTCGCAAATGTAGTCGGGCAGAGTTACGTTTATAACTGTGAGAGAGAGAGAGAGGAAGTCCGAGAAGGGTTTGAAGAAAAGGAAAGAGAGTTTCTTTTTCGCGTCACGGCACTCTTCAATCACTTCTTGCTCCTCTCGCGGACTTCCTTCCGCTTTTACACTATCGCTTCTTGTCCGATGCTATCATTGTGCTTTTTTTACGACGACACGTTTTCCCACATGCATCATAAAAGCGTTCGCGAATTTTTCCGCTCGCTTTGCGTTACCGCGTCGGCGTATTCGCAACGATCATTACCGTCATTATTCACAAACATCTCAGAGAGAAACGCCTACTCTTTACTACTTGTTTTTCAAATGAAAATTCGCGTTTATCTGAAATTCGCATTTGTCTTCCGGGCGCAATTTTAAAACGAACAAATCGCTCTAATCAAACTGCGAAATCTAAATTTAAAACCAAGAGATAAATGAACCGAACGCGCGGAGAGCCTTTAATCACGGCCACGCGACTCTAATCGCCGTTTCCGCGCGCAAATTGCCGCCTCGTTTTAACGATATGTCGGAATTCTTTGTAATCTCTTCGTCTACCGAATGTCGGGGGAGACTTGATGAACAACAATCGCCGGGGATGTACAACACCGGTTTCCCGTGGCCCAGACTTCGTCCCTTGACTCCGCAAACGGGGGGAAAATCCGAGCTGGTAGTATATACCAGGAGTTTACATAGGTCGTACCACCTGGTGGATACATCGCTGCTCGTCGGTTGAACGACGAGCAGGGCATGAAAGAGGAGGAGGAAGAGGAGATCGAGTCGCGTGGTGGTTGCGATAGTGGCAAATCGCGGTTAGGAAGACGGAGAACGAAAACGAGCGAGTGGCGTGGAGAAGGGAGAGAATCCAGGGGAAAGCGGCAAAAGAGCCGCGGCGGAGGGTGGTGGGCGGCGAGTGGGGTTGAAGCGAGCGGTGGCTGAAGGAGGGAATGACCCCGCGTGCCGGGGTCAACCGTTGCACTATGCTCTCCGTGTCTCTTAGTCATGGACGAACCTCGCTCGCTCGCTCGCTCGCTCGTTCACGTTCTGATATGTACGTTCTGTATATACGAGCGTTACATACACACAGACGATCCGGAAGATACCACCTGAGCACACCTGAGCCAGATGCCGTCTGTCCGTCTCGCTATAACGTCGCCAGTGTGTGTGTGTGTGCGCGCACTGTCGTCGACTCGCCGACGATATTTATGAATACACGCGGGATGCGGGCGAGACGGTAGCGCCGGGCATTATTTCTCGTTATTGTCAGCCAATGTATGTTTAGGATCCCCTCACTCCTGTCTTTAGACAGTATACGTCAGACATTTCTTCCGCGCACGCTAGGTCTCAGGTCTTGAAGCAGAAGTATACACGAGATGAGAAAAAGTAGAAACTCTCGAGTGGAAATATTTCCATCTAGATTCTCACGCGCGAACAATATACGTTAAAGCTCTTGTGAAATGTAACTTCGGGGGTAAGATACATCGGGCGCGCGATATCGCGATGCTGCTATACGTCCCGTGTGTCAAGTTCCAGATTTGCCTGCAAATATGCACCGAGAAACGTAGGAAATAGAACGTTTGAAAGCGTCCCGACGAGACGTTAACGTTCATTTTGCAAGGTATCGACGCGCATGAAAATTAGCAGCGCTGTTATCGCTTGACTAAATGCTTGTCGGATCCGCGTCGACAAATGCAAAAGGGTTCCGATACGAATGCGAACGAGGACAATCAAAACGCTATTTTTAACATCTATTTTTAAAAAGATATTGCGCAAGAATAACACTATCAAAAAAAAAAAAAAAAAAATTGCACGGAACTTGCCTCATATCTTTCGGTATTTTTCCGCGAGCAGCGGATTACGTAGCTACGTCAAGTCGGATTTCGGTATCGCGCGTCGCGGCTCACGACGGTGGAGAGCTTCCGCTTCGCGAAAATCGCTTTATGCGCGATCATATTTCTTGGTCGGGGATCTATATTTTCCGTCTAGAAACAGGCGATACCCCACTAACGCGGTATTAAGTCACGGCGGGGATATATAACTGTGCATCCATCATAAAATCAAGTTACAGTCACGTATACGTACGTGAGACGTTACTACCCCTGTGACGTTTCGATATCGATTGCTTATATGAACGTACAAGGCGTTCGGCGGTCGTGTGTAATAATTGCGATAGACGCAAGACGTCGCGTAAATCACGGTCTCGTAGTCGATAATCGAGCCGCGATGCCGCGCGGCACAACGAGAACGGGAGATGTCGCGATAACGGTAAATGCAAGTCGATCGATTTGCGGTATCGCCCGCAACCGGTCACGGGGTATCGTCGCCCGTCTCGTTGCGCGCGGCTCGATTATGATTCCGACAACGTAGCAAATAGTCGCAGCGGCGCAATTTCTCTACGTTATTTGCTGGAAAATTAAGTGCATCGCGATTGCAACGTGGCTGCCACACTGTTCGGCGAAAAGTGCGAATGAGAATTTTCCGTGGTAAGTATATGAGTTTAGTGGGGTACTTTATGCCGGTCGTCGCACGCCATCGCGGGCCGTCTCTCCAATTACCGCAATTAGCGATTTCATTAGCGCTAATTACATCACGCGTCTAGTATCCCGCTTTCAACCCCGCTCCCTTCCCTTCGCGCGCCCACGTTGTGCCGATGCAACAATGATTGATACACTCCGTGAGCAAAACTTTTTCCGACTTCCTGTTTTTTTCCTCTTGTTTTCTCTATTCTCCCCGGCACGCAAATCCGAGAAAAGGCCGGAAAATCCTCTTTGAACTTTTTCACCAGAGAAGAGTTTTTATCTCCGACGAAAACCTCGTAAAGAAAGTCCAAACGGTTTCGAATCGGCCGCCGCTTCTTGCACGAGAGACTTTAATAGCGCTGTGTATATACGTTGCTCATTTGTTACGCGTGCAAACTCTTTCTGAGATAAACATTTCGCACAAGCGACGCTCAATAATCGCATTAACATACGTGTTATCGCAAACGTAACAACTTATTACCAATCTTCTTTTTGTTTTTTTTTTTTCTATCACGCTTTTCAAAAAAGATGTAAGATTTTAAGAGACTCAGGTTGCTTCGTAAATTTTTCAATAGCGTTACACAAGTCGATCGGAAACTATTTCCACCCCATTTCTTTTCCTCGTAACAAGTTTAATAAACCATAAGCTCGAGAAAAACTGAAGAGAGAGAGAGAGATAGATAGAAAAGACTTACCTGTCACGCTGAGTAGCGACATGGTCGAACAAGATAGAGAAAGATGTATCTCCTCCGGGCTTGTGATCACCTGAATATTCCCCGAGTTGTCTTCAATCGGTCAAGGGGCGCACTCGACGTGGCACGCGGAGATCCGGAGATGTACGAAAAAGTGTGATGCTGCGCTCTTTACGATGAAACACGCCGGCTCGCGCGGATGCACTCTCTCTCTCTCGTGTATATGTACAGACTCTTCCTTTTATTCCTCCTCGTACACTAATAGTCCCTTTTTTCCTCTGTCCTCTTTTTCCCCTCTTTTTTTCTTTTCTCTTTCTCTCTCTTTCTTTCTCTTTCTCTCTATCTCTCGGTGTTTGTTCGTTCTGTGCGTCTCTATCACGTACAATATACGAACGCGGGATACATGTGTGTGCATGCATGCATATATATAGATATATATATATATATAATAATAATACGGTACGTATGTTATATATAAGAGAATGTGATACGTGTCGAGTGATCCGCGACGGTACGGTTTTACGCGCGAATCAGAAGCTAAATTCAAATATTTCGAAAACGGCCCGACTACGGTTTCTTTTTTTTTTCTTTCCTCCAGCTCCGAGTATGTGTGTGTGTTTTCACTCTACTTTCTTGTTTACTTCTTAACAAAAAAAACTTTTTCTGTTTACAGTCTGTCACACAGGCTTGGCCGACGCGGTGAAGCGCGTTCGTGTCCGTACGTTATCACGCTACGCGGCTTATCTGGATCGACGGCGATATACCCTGGTTCCTCCTTCTTGCCTGCCTTTCTCTCTCTCTCTCTCTCTCTCTCTTTGTCGCTTCTGTATACCCCTGGTCCACCCCCTCCCCTACCCTTTTACGCCCGGTGTGTACACTGGCCGATGACCGTACGTGACACGAGTTCCTATGTGCTCGGTTGTAACACTGTTTTCCCCGTAATACCGGCGCGATGACGATCGATCGCGCGGAGAGAGAGAATGACTGTTGTATAAAGCGTAATTTTAGCACCGATTGACTTTACTATCGGTCGTTACTCGATTGCACCAAGAGAATCGCACTGCGTGTAGTCGCGCGCTGTGTAGTAATAGCGTCGTCATCGACTCGATGAGTAATAACGTGGCTCTTGGTCACGCGCGACAATGTAGTCCAGTCTGGCGATCGTGAAGAAAATCGCGCGCTTCCTCGTCGCTTGCACCTGCATCATTCACCCTCGTCTGAATCCGCTTTACTATCATCAGATGATCCTCGTGGTCGTGGTTGACGAACACCGCGGTGCTGGCACGCTGGCAATTGTAGTAGTGATTATTATACGGCAGCGCCGACGACGCTCTGTTGCTGCTGCTGATCCACTGCGACTCGGTAACGTTGCTGATTATTTCAACTCTGTCGTTTCCGTGTCGTATCGCGCGACAGGCACGAGACATCACCGTAGCGTCGCTATGTGAACCCGTTGATCGCCGTTGTCCAACGGCATTGGTGAGGTAAGCTCGGCCGTGTGTTCCCCGCTTCGGTACGAGAGCCCATCGTGCCGCCGTCACCGTCGTCGTCGTCGTCGTCGTCGCCGCGCTTCTCGTTATTATCATAGTAGCGAGAGATGTGCCGAGTCGTTGTCGCGCGTCTCTCGTGCTCGTCAGGGGAACGTGCACCACCAACGACGCCAGGCACGTCGTCGCCGTCGCTCCGAGGCGCGACCGGTCACGCGCATTTCACCACGGTGCCGTGAAAGAGAGCCGGGCCGAAAGACAGAGAGACAAAGAGAACCAAAAAAAAAAAAAGAAAAAGGGGCTAGAACGGGAGCGAGAACGAGCGGAAAGAAAAAACGAAAATCAAAACGAGAAGGAGAAAAAAACCGCGCTCGAAAACTAATCTGGAGCAGAAGATGGGCAAAGAGAGAAAGAAAAAGAACGGAGAGGCAGAAAGAGAGAGAAAGAAAGAGAGAGAGAGAAAGAGAGGAGAGGGTGGGAGAAGAAGAGGGATGAAGGAACGAAGAAGACCGGAAGAAACACGCGACGCCGCGAGGAACCCTCTTGGAGAGTGTCACGTACCGAACACACAGCCGTGCACCGTTCTCTCTCTCTTTCTCTCCCCGTCGCTCCGGGCACCGTCGCTCGCTGCTGTTCACCGCTGCCGTTTCCGCGTTGACCACGGTCGCATTCAACTCGCACGCTGCACTTCGGTCCTCGCGTTTTCGCCGCACGTACGGAGGTACAGAGGATAACGCGCGGCGCAGCCGTTACCCGGAGTGGTTGAAACCGCGTCTCACGCGCGTAATGATAGCGCGGTGCCGCGATCGCGTGCGATGCGCCGCTCGTTCTGCCAACGTCGCCGCGTTAATCTGCTGGAACGTTGTTGCGAACGTACGCGGACTGCCCGACGTCGAGCACTGTGCGAACGAAGACGCTTCCGACACGCCGCCGCCATCTTGCTACGTCAAAGGGGTGACATAGCGCCGGCGTCGTGATAAAAGCCGGCCAGATCCGAGCGTCGCCGGAACCACCCGACTGTTCGTTCCGGCGAGACCACCGAGAGAACCCCTAGCTCGCCGAGCTAACCCTCCCTCTCGGAGCCACTCACGCCGGTCCTTCTCCGCGGTCCTCCTCTACCGCCACCCGCGGGGTACCACCAGCGAGCGCGAGCTGCCTTTTACGACGATGCGTTCGCGCTCGTTCCGGGGGTGCAACGTCTTCGAAAATCGTTGCGGGACTCGGTCCGCGCGTTGCGCGTCGATTATTAGAGTTTGAAAGTCGAACTCGCGCACGTTTCATCCCGTGGGTGTTGCACATATCGATACTTTCGTGCACAAAAGTTTCACACGTTAATTTTCGTCAAAGTCCACATTTATCTCGCGAATCTTCTCGAAAGTAACTACGTCGCGACGATATATTGTGTCGTAATTTTTAACAAATGTTTCGAGGGATTAAATTCACCAAGTAGATATTTGAGTTCGATGCCTGCGAACTACGTTCGCGAAACTTATCACGCTCACCACGTAAGTTGAGCGATCCTAATTAGCAACGCCGTCAAGATTCTCGTTCGAGTTTCCAGAGGGAAATGCGCGTCGCGAGCTCAACGACGGCGTCTCGAGACTCGTTTTCGCGCGGCCGCAATAGAAGGAGACAGAGAAGCTTGGTCTCTCTCTGTGAGAGATGCCCGATCCCGATAACAGCTGCCTACACCGCCATCCGTGATTACTTCACGAGGCGATGGCGATCTCTCTAGCTACTTGGAATAAACGTTATCCCTTTACCATCGCGAGAAGCTATAAAAAGAGACTACCTGAAATCGTTGCATGCTGCCAAGCGCGATTCAATTTATGCCGCCCCCGCTCTCGCAAAGTTATATTCCACTCGTATTCCATTCTGTGTGTGTGCCCCCGTGCGCGTGGAAAATAATTTTTATACTTTCCGTAATACGCAGCAGAGCGACGTGCAGATTCGCGATATACAAACGCGTTGCGAGTTCCTCCCCGACATTTATATACATCCAAGACATTATCCCGCGCATTAGTATTTCAGATGGAAAATTGGTTCATTAGGATGCTTGTGTAAACTTGTTAGCGTGAGAAGGGGTCGTAAACGCGGGGTTGAACGAGCCGAGGGACACGCAATGTCTGCTATTCAAAGTCTCTAAATGCCGTCGTGAAACAACGTTACACACCGCCGCCAATCGAGATAAGAAATTTGCACATTGTCATAGATACACAATCGTTAATTAATTTTGCGAGAAACCGCTGCCCCCTCTTTGACGTACGCGGAGAGAGATTTATCGTAGAGAACACTTCGCGGGACACACAGAGCCGGCGCGGCGCGTATCTCGCCAAGTAGTTACGCCGTGTTACGCCGCGCCTTAGTAAGTAGTAATAACTGTCGATCGCTCGAACGCGCAAACAGCGTTCGACCCGGAAACGGTCGAAGTTTTCTTTCTTTCTCTTTGCTTTCCGATTTTTCCCGATATTGCTGCGCTATCGTGCGAAAGTAATAGTTTCGTTTGATCAAGTGCCGATCTTCTTTTAATGCCGATTAAATGTTAATTGAAAAATGTAACAACTTTGTATACGTGATGATCAACAGATTCTGAACGCGAAGATTCACATGCCACGTCGGATTCGACGAAGAAAACGATGTGGCTCGAGGTGCGACGATTTTATCGAGTTTATAGTCTTTTGCACTTTCTAGATATCATGTAAGACATGTATATATGCACCCCTCGACGTTCGCTCCAGGCATTAAGACGCTCGTCGCCGTCGTCGCACGCATTGACGTGGTGGTGAGTTTTTTATTTCCGCGAGGAGAGTGCGCAACAATGGCTGTCGCGTCGTGAAATAACAAGAGCCTCTACGAGTTTTGAGGAAACAACGCTTGGAAAATTCTCGCGGAAACATTTCAGTTTCGCTTATTTTCACGGCTCGAAAGAACCGCTCGAATGTCCGCCTTTTGTTGTTCCCTTCTTCGCGCGGTAAACTTTTCGTCGATAATGATTCGCCGCACACGTGAGCGATATATTTACGGCTTCGCGCGCGTTACAACTTTAATACAATATGTTAAAGTCGGTTTCTCTCTCTTTCTCTCGCGGCTTCCCTGCTTTTCCGGGAGGACGCGCATTATCGAGGAAAATATTCAAGTTCCGCCGAAACTACTTTGCTGCCTCTTTGAATCCGTCACGTCTGTGTGCGTTCTTTGATCGAATTTTATACGCTTGAAAATTTCATTTGCGACACTCGCAAATTGTCGCAGAATTATCGCGGCGACATTGAAGCACGAGTGTTCTTTTTAACGGCACACCTCCGGTAATCGGTGTATAACGTTGCATCTCGTGTAAATGTTCTATTCTATAAATTGTTATGTCGTGAAAATCGCGATAGGAAAACATACCACACGTACAGGACGCACTTCACACATGGAAAAAAAAAAAAAAAAAAAAAAACAAGAAAAACAAAAAAATGGATAAGATGATAGCGCCATCCTCGCGCTTTGATAACATTTTAACTCGTGAATTGCGGAATTCGCGCGCGTTTCGAATATTGCCGACTCCGCGGCGAGGATACGTGAAAAGAGAATGATGGAAGGAAGGAAACGCAACGAGTGGCGAGGAGAAAGAAGAGGAAGGGAAGGTTTGAGACCGCGCACAATGCATAAAAGTAAACGTGCTGAGCGTGAATATAGTGGCGGAGTGTGATATTCACGATATGTATGCACGACTGGTCACAACTCAGCACGTATACGAAACATTTATCAGCCCGTTGTGTGTGACGTTTACTAGTCCACGCGTTTTCCTCAGTTATCGTTCCGAATGCCGTTTCGCCAAATCGATACAATTATTTGCGACCCGATTTACGGACCGCAAGTGTCCCAAGTGCTCGCCAAATTAACGTCTGATTAAAAAAAAAAAAAAAAGATCTCGGTGAATTGTTTGTGAGGCTTAATTGAATTTCTGGAATCTTTTGAGATCCTACACACACACAGTTGCTCTTCTGATAATAATAACTTAACATCTTTTGCGTTTTGACTCTACTCTCGGAAAGCTTCGAAGTCAGAGTTGAAAGCGATTCAAAGAGAAAGATAAGAAGCCTTGATAAAAATAACATAGGAAAAATTCGCGAATAATGAAAAGAGGTCTGCGAAATGATTGATATACCGACTTATTGACGGGAGACATTTAAATAATGCAACAGTTGCATCTTTTTACGTTACACGATTGACCGATGCAAAATGTGCCAGTGGTTGTAGCAACGTATTGATCAGCCACGCCGACGCTACTTCCGTTAATGCAGACACACACCGAGAGAGAGAGAGAGAGAGAGAGAACACCGATACCGAAATTCTCCATGTTACACATGGACCATTAATACTAGACGTATGGCATTCCATTTACTATATTCCGAGATGCCTATCCAGACGACGATGAAGGCAATCGCGGCGTTATGATATCTATTCGCTCCATCGATCACCGTTAAATTACCTGCCATCGGGAGAAACTTCATTTAACGACAGAAATCAAAACCGCGAAAGTTGTTTAAAAAAATAATCACACGTTTGCGCGCAGCTTTTGCGTAGGTATGAAAATGACAATTTACTAGGATACAATGTAACCCTACACCCACACACGTGAACGTTAATTGTATATTGTCCTGTCGAACAAGCGTCAATATTAACATTTCACTCATGCTGTAAATTCGAAGCATCTATAAATTTTGCAATACTCATTATTGCATTCGCACAACAATTGAATATCAATTATGTATGTTTAACAGTTTGCACTTCGCGTTCTACATTTTCGTTTTAAGTTAGGCGGACCGCATTAATTGTGACGCACGTTAAAGATAACGAACGTATCATTTAATGGGATGTGTTCTCGCGCGCATTGCGGTATAAATTTGCGGGATCGCGCGCAATAGAGCACAAATATACGGGGGTGTACGAGCGGGGGTGTGCTCGCACGCGCACGTGTGTGTGTGTGTGTGTGTGTGTGTGTACTACGCGCATCACAATGAAATTCTCTTTTATCGATATTTTTCTCTTTACCCTGTAGTTGACCGGCTATCGCTCGTGCCGCGAACCGATTGCTTTTTAAAAAATGCAAAAGCCCGCCCGAGAACGGCTCGATGCCGTAAACGGGCCAAATGGAAAATAACGCGGACATGATACAGGCCGCCATGTGCATTTTTCGGACCGGGCTAATTTCTCAGATTACGAAAGAGCGCTTGCTCCGCGAGCTTTATTGAATATCTATTTTCGTGGCGCTAACTACGGCAATGAAAGGAGGTTTTTGCGAGAACCTTCCTTTGACATGTTTTAAGGAAGAAAATACATGTGTACATGAAAAGTACACATCTATGAAAAAGTAACCGCGTTTCTTTTTAAATTTGATCCGTTTATTCTGAGATCGTTTATATTCCGTATAAAGTTCTGTGGAGGATATTCGAGATTTTTACACGATAAATATGTTCGTTATATTTTTTGCGACAATTGCGCGTATCCGTTTACTTGTCGAGACACTACTCTGTTTGTTTCTTTATATATTTATCTTTTGTCGCAAGTTTCGCGCGTCTTTGATCGAGGATCGAGCGATCTTTCTTTCCGATTATTAGCGTTAATCTGTCGGTAACACTGAACTCCTCTAAAATCTACACTGGAAAGTATAAGAGTGAATAGACTTACGTGTCGAAAATTGAAGATTGCCATTTGTCCGATATAGGCTGTGGATCTGTCTCATTCGCGCCAACTGCATCCGTCTCTCTCACACTCGCTGAATATCGTCCCACGGTGAACATAAATGCGAATATGATCGCAGACCATTTTGTTCCCAAAATTTTATAGACTATATTATGTATCGGCTCTTGTTCGGCGAGCTCGTAAAGTTTTCCAATAAAAAGTTTTCAAAAAATAACAAGAACTTTCTTATCACAAATAAATTACGTATAAATAATATAATCTATTCACATACTGTGTTAAAGTTACGTTAAATCGACTTATTTTAACATATGTATTCTGGTATTTAAATAAAATATGATTGTATAAATAATACATGACACATGTTCGAGAGAATGCTGTGTGATTGGTTGGTTTGCCTGCTGCCTAAGTTTATTTGTGTAGAGTTCCTTTGGCTCTCTTTGAAGTTCAATGGTCGGTATTGTCGATAATCTAGGACGGACAGTTTCTCACATGTGTAAAGAGAATGAAACGCGATAAGAAGCGCCATCTAGTGGATCGAGGATAAACTAAGTTACTAACACGTTCTTGCAAAATTCAACAGTGGCCTCGTTTTCTTCTGAAATAAAGTGTAACTGTTTTCAATGAAAAGAACATGTTTCTCATATTCCAATTATAATTTACGTGAACTTGTAATTATTATATAAATAATTACGAATATGTAAATTTACATATGTTTCGCTTTCTCTCTTATGCTTTATGTCGTCACTTTTTATCATGTTGCGTTTATCGTAAATACGATAACAGGTGATTACGGCGATTTTAAATGTTTACTTATCGCGTTTCGAGCTTTGTGCGCGATAATCGAGATTTCGATTCGAACGTTCGCGAAAATCTGTATCGCGCGTCTGCGCGTGGGAGCGTATTGGCGTCACGAAATACTTTCAAATCGATAACGACGTCATGACGTATCGTGGCCGAGTGATTCGGTGTGCTCGGACAAATATATACATCGACACAATGACGTGTCAAGCGATATTGACACATTACTATCATTTTTATTTGACCATACAAGTGAATCAAGTAATGCGAAAATATTGTAGCTGATAAATTATCAGATATCGTATTCGTTTACCACTAGCGGAGATTTGATCGTGCCAGGAACAGACAGTTCCGAGAGCGCCGTCACTCCGAATGGCGTTCGAATGGGCAAAAGCACCGAAAGGCACACATCGGCAACTAGTTACGTCGTCGCGCGGCCAATCAGCTGCCGCCGGCGCTTACCACGTGATCGGAAAGATCGAAATGGCGGACGTATCGGGACGCAGGATCCCGTGCATAGACGAAGGACGATAAACCTGGGTAAAAGACCCGTCATCCGTGTCATAGGTGACCGTGTGTCAATTCCCGCGACGGGTGAGTGAGCTATTGCGCGTGGGTAGCCGTGGAGGGAGAATCGCGGCGATTTGGGGCGCGTCGCGAACAGGCCGGTGTGCGGGGAACAACCATCGACAGAACCTCTCCGATCGACGCGTGTTTACCGAAGTGTCAACCCGCCCGTATTGCACGCGCGCGTGTCTGGTAATCGGCTGTTCTTCCCGGACCGTTCGGGTCGAGAGGAACAAAAACACGATCGGGACGCGGTGCGGCAACAGTGAAGCGATCATTTGCGTTACTGATCTCGATTTTCGGTGCGCTCTTGCAAGTGAAAGACCGATCTCCGCAAGAAAGAGAGAGAGAAAGAGAGGGAGTGAGTGAGAAGGATCCGCGCGAGCCTGTGACTCGGGAAGCGGATGCGAAAGGGAGAAAGAGATCGCAGTTAGATCTGGTGGACGGACAGCGATCGTTTCACGTGGTGGAGGGCTCCTGGCCCCGCGGCAACATGCGCGCGGACTCGTTGGTTCCAGTGGATGATACGTCGCGACATGTATCTCAACGACAAAGGAGGTAAAACACACGGCTCGCAAAAAGTATCGCAAGGCCGAGCGCCTTCTCGATTACCCAGCGCGCTTATGCATGCACGAGAACGAGAAACGCACGCACACGTCTCGCAACGATGCATTCCTTCGCGGTGATATCGCTCCGTGGTGTCTCGCGATTATCTCTGTCCGAGAAATTCTTTAAGCTCCGTTCTCTTTAGCGTGTTGACGTTCTCATGGATCACCTCGCCGTGGTCCATGACCCGCCAACTTTGCGCGAGTAAAATCGAATAACGTTGTTGTTTTGTTCAGGAACTGTTAGTCAATCTAATTCCAAGCGCCCTGACTTTTTGGACGAACGATCATTGTATTCGCGAGATCGCACGTCGCTTTTCGTCTTTCTGTGTGTATTCTACGCGTGCGATCAAATTTGTTGTCGTTCGATCCGCCGACAGTTTTCTGGCCGAACGTTTGTATTCTTGCGGTGTCTTGTTCGCGACGGAGAGAGAGACAGAGAAAGAGAGCGGTTTATTTGTGCGCATGAATCCGTCGGAAAAACATTCGGGGGTAAAAATGAGTTATTTTTACTTGCGGCCACACATCGAGTTTCCGCAGCAAAACATGCACATGATTGTATACATGCATACATGTATATATGCGTCACATTCAGTGAGTCAATGAAATTCTCAGTTGTCAGTAGATTGCGCGAGAGAGGAAGAAAGAGGGAGAAAAGAAGAAAAAGATAACACTGATAAAAATGATCAGAAAGTTCAATTATACTTATCTGTGTCTTGACTTTTAATAAACTGTCTTTACTTATGTCTTTCACATACAATTCCATCTTGACATTATTGCTTATTTATCAAAATAGAAATGCACATGTTCTATTTTTGTTACGTCTCAGACCGAGAGGTTATATACAAAATCAGTATTGTATTAATGTATTTAATTCCTTTCCTGTGTAACGAGTTCTTTTTCAAATATGATTGTATTGGGAAATTTAATGAAATACTGACCTGTGTTATATATCACTATTAAAGATTATTTCAAATAATACTTTTGCACGCACAACCCAATGTGTTTATTTTCTTTGTTTATAGAATTTTGCATTTTTTCTATTTCTTGTATTCACTTGATCATGTAATTTTCTTTTTCCAGATAGAACAGTTTTCTGACTTAGAAAACACCTTGTAATAAGCGGAAATGACACAATCACAACTGTAAACTGTTGCAATAAATATGCTAAAATACTCAGAAAGAGGATAAGAATATTTACTGTAGGCTGAGGATCTTGGACTTTTGTCAGAAAAAAATAAGGAAACAAAGTTACTGCCTATTAACAATAGCACATCTTGTCATCTGTTTAGTGAACGTTGTGATAATAAGTAATTGGCTGTCACAAAGATTTCAATGTCAGTCGAGTATTAAACGCATAATGTTCAACTGAGATAGCCTATCTTCTACTAATTGTAAAAATACTCTAACTTCTAATGAACAAATCAGGAACAAGGACCTAGAAGAAATTGACTGAATATATCAATCTAAAAAAGGAATAACGTATATAAAAAGATTCCACTTTCTGATTCTATTTTATTATACTGTAATAACTATACTAACCAACAAGCCAGAATACTCTGCGTATTATTCTGTCATATAAATCGTTTTATTCTATGAAAAGAAAGACTTGAACATATAATTTGGAAGAATTTTACAATTTCTTATTAATATGCTTTATGACCAGAAGAGATACCTGCAAAGTTTTATTTTGTCACAGATTTATCTTTAATTAAAATTTTGAACGATATATAAATATACAAGGAAAAGTTGATTATCTCTTGACAAGTGAGGGCAAGAAACAAAGCTAAACAATCCAAACTCTATCGAAAATACAACGTAACTCTGTATATGTAAACAAACACTGATGTCATATATATTTGTGCAAGTTAGTGGAACAAAATGTATAATAATTACTTTAACCGCTCGAATCAGTGGTTGTGTATAACGAATAAACAAGAAGAAGGAAATATAACATATTTGAAATACTGTATAGATGATAGAGGACGTGCGTGCTAACCCTCTAAAGTACAAGGTATGTTGCTAAGTTGAAGCAATTTATTCTTACGTACAGAATGGAATACTTTATATCCTTGTGTTGTTGTGATTTCAGGGTTAAAAATGGACAACAGTGGATCTGGAGTAGTGCAGGTATTTGTGGGTGAATGGAGCCCTGAATATGAAGCATTGTCAATTAAAGCCACGAAGCAGACCTCATCGGCCGAGATAGTGGAGTGTATCATCGAGAGACTTGGGCTGGCCGATATTTCTGCTTCGAATGGCTACGAGTTGGCAGAAGTAGTGGGAAATTCTGTTGGGCAGGAGTGCAAGGAAAGAAGACTTGGCCCTACCGAGTGTCCCGTGGCACTAATGTTATTGTGGCCAAAAAATGACACTCAACAGGAATATTACAGGTTCATTGCGTTTTGATATAATACTAATATTTTATATTGAGATTGTCCAAGTTTTGCAATGGTTTCTTACAAAACAATTTCTGTTATTTTAATTTTTAGATTTTATCTACGAAAGAAGCAACCAGACTATTTATGGTCTGACAGCAGATTTCCCATGGACCCTCAACTCTTAAAAGATTATTTCAATAGATTCCTTTATCAACCACGCGACAAGGAGTATCCGGATCTCTGTCAGCTTCCAGATCTGAATGAGCAAACATTGTTAGACAATCTGAGGGCCAGGTTTCTAGCTGGCAACATATATACTTATGTTGGCAGCATACTGATCGCATTAAATCCATTCAAGTTTTATCCCATCTACAATCCGAAATACGTGAAGTTGTATCAAAATAGAAGATTAGGACCGGACATACCGCCACACATATTTGCCATAGCCGATGCAGCCTATCATTGTATGCTGAAAGAGAAGAAGAATCAGTGTATCGTTATTAGTGGAGAAAGCGGTTCTGGTAAAACGGAATCGACGAATTTTTTGTTGCATCATCTGACGGCACTCAGCCAGAAAGGTTCGCACGGTAGCGGAGTGGAACAGACGATACTCAGCGCCGGGCCTGTTTTGGAAGCATTCGGCAATGCGAAAACGGCGCATAATAACAACAGCAGTCGCTTTGGCAAATTTATCCAAGTAAATTACAAGGAAAATGGAATGGTCCACGGGTATGTTTCGTATCATTAATACATGCAAAATATAAAACAGGACTATTTCCGATTAACTTAATCTATTGTTTATTTTATTGGAACCAATTGACACTCGATAAGTTGATTAAGTTAATCGAAAATGATCATAAAAACTGATCATAATTTTCTGATTACGAAGTATAGAGTGTAGATAATCATCTAAATGATTATTTTACAGTGCTGTAGTTCAGAAGTATCTATTGGAGAAATCAAGGATCGTCTCTCAAGGACGAAATGAGAGGAATTACCATGTATTTTATTATCTATTAGCGGGTGCAAGCGAACAAGAAAAACAACTGTTGCACTTGGAGAGTTGCGATCGGTATAATTACTTGAATAAAAGCGGTTGTTACGGGTTGGAAAATATTGACGAGAAGCACGAGTTCTCGAGATTAAAACAGTCAATGGAGATGGTGGGTTTCACGCCGGAAAAGCAGAGACGATTGTTCGCGGTTCTGTCGGCAGTTCTTCTGCTGGGTAATTTGCTAGGAAATTTAAAAAAATTTTTCCGTATCGACAAACATATTATCGATAACTCTATTTTCTATTTAGGTAATGTTGAGTTTCAACCGAGAAAATCATATCATCATCACGATGAGGCTGTGGGTGTTAAAAATCCCGAAGTGGTTGCACTGATATCAGAGCTTCTTAGAGTAAAGCAAGAAACTCTGTTGGCTGCACTCACTGCCAAACGTGCAAGAGCTTCCGGGGAGACTCTGGTTATTAATTATAGACTTCCCGAAGCGATTGCGGCACGTGATGCCATGGCAAAGTGTTTGTACGGAGCTTTATTCGATTGGATTGTGCTGCAGGTATTAAAAGTTTATTATTTACGAAAAGTACATAGTTATCTCACATCACGAATACGAAATAACATCGTGTTACGCGCTATTTTCGAATCAGGTGAATCATGCATTGCTTTCGAAAAAGGATACTCTCCGAGATCATCAAGGTAATAGTATAGGCGTATTGGACATATTTGGTTTTGAGGATTTCAAGACGTGTAACAGTTTCGAGCAACTGTGTATTAATTATGCGAACGAACAGCTTCAACATTATTTCAATCAACATGTTTTTCAATACGAACAACGAGAATACAGAAAACAGGGGATTAGATGGACGGACATAGGATACAGTGACAACTCTGGATGTCTCAATCTTATCGAAGGAAAACCGAACGGCCTCTTGTGTCTTCTTGACGATCAGTGCAAGTCGGTATTGTTTGAATACGTTTCTATGTTTGTGTGAGATATGCGACATTTTTCGAATGTTCCATTCTATTTCGCAGCTTTCCTGGTGCAACGAACGAGACGTTGCTGCAAAAATTCAATACCGTGCACAAAGATAATCCTTTCTACGAGGCGCCGCAACGCCGAGAGGCGGCATTTGTTGTACGACATTATGCCGGCGCAGTTAAATATCAAGCTGCCAATATGCGGGAAAAGAATCTAGACTTGATGAGGCCCGACGGTGTAGTTGGAGTGCTGAAGAATTCTTCTCTCGCGTTTGTGCGCGAGTTGGTCGGCGCTGATCCGGTCGCTGTGTTCAGATGGGCTATACTGAGAGCTTTCTTTCGCGCGCATTTTGCATTTCAGGAAGCTGGTCGAGCGCACAGACACGGTAGAGGTAAGTACATTAAATTGCAACGTTTAAACGTTACATTGCGTAGAATGTAATGTGCAAACACTTATAAAAAACTATATTTCTTTCAGTGGATGGCAACAAGACGTCTGTGCAAAATAGGTATAGGACACCCAACGAAACGTTGATAAGGTAACACTTGAACTTTTTATTTTCTGATCAATTAATATTTAGATATTTATAACAATAATAAGAAAAAGTATTAGGTTGTTACACGTGAAGTGGCTAATATAATGTGATTTTACTTTGTAGTTTGAAGTTTTATTACAAAATTCGCCATTTTATTTGGAACAATCTAAGATTAAATGCTTCCATATGTAACACGTACCTATAACAAAGCAAATATATTAGCATTGAGAACTGTAAGAAAAAAGTGCTGATGTCGTTGCGCTTGTCTCTTGAGTATGTTTGATCTGTATAATGTGTCTCATCTACGAAGAATGAACTTAACGTTTGCGTCAATAATACATGCATCGCGCGCTCAACCAAGAGTTTTGGTGTTTATACATATATATAAACTAAGACAACTTGTTATTGTATTTATATTGGCCATGTCTTTTGTCCCTTTGTAGCCATCTTGTGACGTTGTCGGCTGTCAATCTAACTATTAACCGAATTGCGTAAGTGGTCTTTTGATCCACTGTATGTGTAATTCTGGCAAATGTTACATTTTGTTAACTACGTCTTTTGTCCCCATGGATTTACAACAAGCAATTTACATGTCACTGTAATAATGTCGATTTGAGAACAGAATAATTTTACATATAAGATATTTATCCAAACTCTAAAGTAAATTTGTAAATCCATATACTTCTTTTGCTCCAGTTTGTGTGTCTACAGATTTTATTTAGATTTATGTTTGCACTTCTCTCGCATTATAGTCGTACCTAGAATGCAATTTTCATATGACATTCGCTATACATTACAGTTACATATTTTATACTATTTTTACAATGGTCTTCTTGCTATTGTTCTCTGGAGCATGATTCATGACGCAAAAAAACTAAGTTTTCTCCTAAGTCACATGTCATTCATCTCGGTCTTTCTTCTTTTGTATTTACAAATCATTCATCAATCGATGAGACATTTTCCGACATCATGTATAAAGCTCGGTACAAGCGGCTGAAAAAAAAAAAATGAATTAAAAAAAAAAAAAAAAAAAAAAAAAAAAAAATCAGTGCCCTTAATGTAAACAATAATTAAATTAATTATATCGTCGGTTGACGAAATATATCTAAGGAATAGAAAATTTTTCAGTTCACACAAACATACCCGTCCACCAAGTTATCAGAAGCAGCGCAGTGTATGCTTATCACCGGCCACTACTCCTTCCGCAACCACATTATCTTCTATACAAAATGAAAACAACGACAATATAAACAACAATCGTTTATCATGGCCACAATTTAGAAACATTAATCAAACGCAACATCCGTCAAACGTTACGTCAACGAAGGGCGGTTACATAGCACGGGGCAGGGAAGATCAGCCCTATAGTAATAATAAATTCAGACGAGATACTCACACACCGCTAGAGAGGGTGCTTCCAAAAGACGAAGCAAACGTCATGGAACGCGCTAATCAAATTGTCATGTATGTAAAAACAACACCCGTTTATTTATTTGATATTCAGTTAATAATGTAACTTATAAGCTACAAGAGAGATTATCGCTCTTCACGCAACCCAAGATTAGTACGTGCTCGATAGCAATTCAGGATGGTGATGGGTTTCTGTAGGTAATAGCATTTTCGCGTAGATTTTAACACGCAAAACTCTGTACCGTGGCTTTATCTATTTCTCCTAATTTCTCTGACAACATACTGCTGCATAATTTTGATTAAAACATCCTACATCATGTATCTCTCTGTCTTTTTCTATCATTTGTCATTAGATTTATCCTTCATTCTTGAAGTTGATTATTCACTCGACTCTGCTGCATGCTGAATGTTTTGCTATAATTTCTTCTTACAAAAAGGATTTCTAAATGTAACAAATATCTACAGTAAATATTTACTTGGAATATTTACCGTAGTTGTAGATTATAGATCACAATTATAGATAATTATAGATAATTTATACGATACACATATAGTTTTGATATCATAAAAAAAATTCTGCATTAATATCTTACTATTATCATACTATAACATTTATCTAATAGATTATTTCGTAATTCTTTCTTCTTTGTACACAATTATCAAGTTTGATAATTTATGAGATATTGCTATTTATACAAATAAGAATGGGGAAAATAAAATACAAATAACAGTAATAGGAGAAGAAATATTCACAATGCGAAATGACATTGTTACGCAGTGTAGCTTGGAAATGGTTACAGGAAAAACAAGTCATTTCGGCCGAGGGAACGTGGCAAGAAAGGTTTGAAAAATCTACAAACTGTGAAGACACTCGCCGGAAGAACTCAGAGTTACGGTACCGGACCGGGAAAAGCCAGAAAACAGCCTATGACCGTGTCCGCCCAGTTTCAGCAGAGCTTGCACAGTCTGATGGACACCTTGAATCAAGCTAATCCCTTCTTCATCAGGTGCATCAAGAGCAACGCCAATAAAGTGCCGAACGAGTTCGACGAAGAGACAGTGCAACGACAACTGCGCTACACAGGAATGTTGGAAACGGTCAGAATAAGGCAGGCCGGCTTCAACGTGCGATTGACGTACGAAGAATTTATACAGCTCTATCGAATGTTACTGCCCAAAGGTCTTCTGAGCTCGCAATCGGACGTGAGGGATTTTCTACTGACGCTTAATCTCAACAGAGATAATTATCAACTGGGCACTACTAAGGTTTTTCTTCGGGAATCCGAAAAAATCAAACTGGATATCGAGCTTCATCAGCAGATCATAACGAGCATTACCACCATACAAAAGTGGTTCCGCGCCTGTCTGGAAAGGAGAAAATTCCTCAGACTGAAAAACGCCGTTGTCCAAATACAATCCTTCTGGAGAATGGTCGCCGCGCAGCGACTGACTCAGGTTCTCCGCGCGAGGAACGAGGCCGCGTTGCACATACAAACCTTCTGGAGAATGTACAAGCAACACAGCTGGTTTAAAAAGCTGAAATCGTGCGTTATCACCTTCCAGGCGTATGTGAGAGGCAATAACGCCAGAAAGAAATTTAATGAATTGAAAAAGCGAAGAAAATCCTTAGCAGATAAGATTCAAGAAGTCAAGGAAACTCAAGAATATAAAGAGCTTACATATGACAAAGTGTGCGCCAAAGATCGAGATAGCGACGAGTAAGTAATGTTTGCGTGATGTAACATAATAAAGATAATGCTTGTATGTGTGTAAAATGAGATATAATTAACGCTTTTATATTATTTTAATATGTAGGTTGTTCACGGAAGATCGAAGTTTGACGGAATATGGCGTGTTGCCCCGGAAAATAGAATCTCAGAATCGGTTCACGTCAGTTAGGTAAATATCAAACTTTACATTTCACGATAGAGAATATTTGCGAGGATTATACATTTTTTTTTTTTTTTTTTTTGCAGGAGCGAAAACGCGCATTGGGATACGAGCGCCGTAGATACCAGTCTATCGTATTCCAAACAAAAGTTCACGCCGAACAAGCGGATTTTGCACGATTCAACGTATTCCGATGAGATTGCAGAACGCAAGAGCAGTCTCGAAAGTCTGACAAGTCTGAGGAGTTACGAATCTCAAGCTAGTATCAACAGTTCCGAGTCGCAGGACAATTCCGGCTCAAAACCCGTGCCGAGCACAAGAACGAAACGCGGCGATCAGTCATCGGTGATCGGATCGAATGTGAACCTGTTGAACGCGTCCAGTCGGCTCTCGAGCAGAAGAACCGACAGCTCGTCAACGGGATACAGCGACGGTGAAATCGAAGGCGAGGCACCGAGCGCCGTGCAAAGTGCTCCACCTGTTTTCAACACGAGTTTACCGTTCACCACTTCTCGTGACATCAAATATCACACGGCTAATGTAAATCAGACGCAGAGTCCGAATTCGGACATCTGGCGTCGCAGAGTAGACTTTTCGCCCAATTACAACGACTACTTTACATCGGCACCTCAAAAAGCGACTGTCACTCGTTCCCCGAATGTTTCTCATTACAAGAACGTGACGGATAGTGTTTTCGAGCACACTCGGCAAGATAAACCGAACGAAGCGGCAAACTACAATGTCAAACTTGACACGAGCGATCGCTTCGCACAAATGGAAAGTTTAGCAAGTGTCAGGCAACAGCGTAGACTTAGCGATAACAGCGTATCTGACGAACGAGCGGAGAATATTTCGTTATCACCGATAAAACGGGTTCAGATGCAACAAGCAGCTGCGAAGAGTGTCAAAGATCCCAGCTTCTTGCGACGACAAAACTCGGAAGGCGATACCGCGAAAGTCGTAGACATTGTAAACGATGACAGCACTTTGAAGTGTACTTTATTGAGAAGATCGCCTCCGAAAGAGAAGAACTCCCGTACGAAAGAGAAACACGAGCCGGACGTGCCGGTGAGGAGCGCGAGACGAAACAGACCCTCGCGAGAAGTTCAGTGTCGATCTATGGGCGAGAGCGTAGGAGCCGAGGCGAACGCCGAAACGCGAAATCTGCTTCTCAGCACGATTAAAGAAAGTGACATGAACAAATCGGCAACCGTATGGTCGCGGAAGGAGCCTCCCCATGAAACCACATCCAGATCCGTGACAGATTGGCCCATAAATAAGAACGAAGCTAAGGGACAGCAACCGTGCGGTAAACGCATGAGATCCAACGCGATAACGACTCTCGAGCTGCGGAGAAGAAATTCTGATCCGGCCACAAAGATTTCGGGTCTGAGCGAAGATAAAAGTGGAACGGACACCAATCCGAACGACCTGAAACTCGCGCCCGGCATGAATCTTCTCGAATGGAAAGGTAATAATCTGTTTACTCTGGCCGGTCATCGTTTTCGAAAAGTGGCGAGGTTCGCGAAGGACGACGTTTGCGTGTGTTGTCATGAGAAAATGGACGCTTTCGTGACACAAGGTTACAAATGCGTCGATTGCAAACAACTGTATCACGTCAAGTGCATTCAGAACGGAGGTGTGTTGAAAATGCCGTGTTTGTTCGCCAACACGCCAAATCGACGAAAAAATCGAAAACCACCGCGTACACCGTACGACACCACGAAACAAACGGTCGCATCCAAGTTCAGCTTAACCGGTACGTCGGCCTTCTCCGACAGCACGGACAAAATTATATCCGACGCTAAGGAGTTGGCGCTAATGCAGGAATTTATCACCAAAAAGATCTACATAATGGAGGGTCAAGAAGAGGGACGGAAGCCGAGCGAGGTGGATCACGTTTTCAAGCAAGCACTTAGAAAGTTCAAAGAAGATCTAGTGATTACGTACAGTGTCGCCATTCAGCAAGGTGTAGAGGGTAACATCAAATACACCGATCTGATCGCTAATTTTCTACACGTTATGGAAACTGTTTGCAAGCAGGAGAACACAAGGGAGGACTTTCCCGTAACGATGGGCGTGAATGCGTTCAGAGGCTTTATGAATGAATTCATGACAATCGTTAAAACCGAAGCTCCCGATAAGCAGAGCAGGAGTAAGCGAAAAAAGGAGAAGAAACGAAAGCAGGAGGAACCCATACGACACGGCAGTCACATGTTCCAGTTGACTATCATCAACATACCCACTGCTTGCGAACTCTGCAATTCTTTCTTCATGTGGCCTATCGAGCGAGGGCTTGTTTGTCAAAGTAAGTCGTTTGTTTGAATTGCAAACTTTAATAAACTTAATTGTAATTATGAGTCAATTTTCGGAGAGATTTACGGTTTTTTTGTTATTAAAAAGTTGATAGAAATACTTAAAAAATATTGTTTTAAAAATTTCTTAAATTCTGTCAAAACTAAAATTTACAAAAATATGTATAATGCAAAACAAAGTTAGATAAATAAATAACGACAGTCATAACACACTAAAAAAGGTTAACGTCGCTCGTTGTTAATTAAAACGGCATAAATACGTTTATAAAAACATGTTTATTAAAACATAGTATAAACACGTGAGAAACGCATTAGAGATGCATTATTTATAAAACACGTTATAAATATTTTATCAATTGTGAAAAGTTATCTATAAATATGATGGAAAGACAAATATCAAATAATTCCAAAACAGTATTTACATAATATTATATTCTGTTTTTAGATTGCAAATTAACCTGTCACAAGAAATGCTATTCGAAAGCGGCGACGGAATGTGGCAAGGATTGTTCGTTACCCGAAACGAATTCGCGCAAGGTATTTGGTGTACCGTTGTACAATTTGGACTGTGGGGACGGCAAAGTACCGCTCGTGGTGGATCGACTGATCACGACCATTGAGATGCACGGTCTGTACACCGAGGGTATATACAGGAAGAGCGGCGTTAGCTCCAAAGTGAGAGAGCTCAAGATGAAGATGGACGAGGGCGATTTGGAAAAAGTGGATTTCGAGAACTACCAGGTGCACGTATTGGCGGCTGTATTAAAGAGCTTCTTCAGAGACATGCCGGAACCGCTACTGACTTACGAGTATTACGACGACTTCTTGCACGCAGCGAGCCTGACGGATCCGCATGATCGAATTAGCACGCTCTTTGCCATATTGAAGAAATTGCCGAAACCCAATTACGATCTGATGGAACGCCTGATCGTCCATCTCGCGCGAGTGGCGCGACACGAGATGGACAACAGGATGTCGCCGTCGGCTCTGGCCATCGTTTTCGCGCCGTGTATTCTCAGAACGAATCGAACGTTGCCCGCGCAGGATTCTCTTCAGGACGTTGGCAGACAGACCCGTTGTGTCGAGACTATAGTGCAAGAGAAATTGAGAGTCGTTCGAGCGACGTTGGCGGACATAAACACCCTCGAGTCCGCCTGTCAGACAGCGACTCATCGGCTTTCCAGTCTACGATCGTCCAAGATCTTCAGCCCGGAGGAATTGAACGTGGCGGCAGCGAGCGCCGCGGGTCGATCGGGCGCGATGGACCGCGACAGAGATCGAGGAGACGAGGAAGAAGCGCTACTCGTTGATCATATACAAGAGATTCAAAAGGAAAAGGCACTCCTGACGTCCACCTTACCCAGTTTGACCAGAGCTTCTTCGGACGATGATCTCCTTCTCTCGGCCACGGATCTAGACGATGGTTCGCTTGATGATCTTCTTCCTCCTTCCGCTGGTGAGTCCCTTCTGATCCAAATATAATTAGCAATAATAATAAGTCAGAGAGTATAATTTTGTATAACACCTTTTAATGCAGATTTATAAAAATATCTCTGATCCCTACATACGTATAAATGTTAGGCGCTTAGCATATAGATAGATATAGATTTCTAGATTTAAGCAGTCTTTTATTAATCACAGACGGACTAGTAAGGAAGAAAACCGTTCAAAGGCAAAGTTCGGCAGACAATTCGTTTCCAACGATTATCAATGTGGATGACGACATGGTAATGGTATGAGCATCGACCGCATGTAACTTTCAAAATGCGTTCTAGAAGGTCATAGTAATCCGGCTAAGATGGTACGAGATGTGTCTCGCGTTTAAGACACGGAATCAACGACTCCAATCGCTGGGTCTACCAGCGAGTTATTAGCGTTTTCGAGATTTATTAGCGAATTCAATTATATAGATAGTTCTTGTAATTTGTTGACTCCATGTGAAAGTTTAATTGTAAACGACTGAAAGATAATTTTATTTTTTCGTCAGAGAGCTAAGTAGAAATGTCTAAAAAAAAAAAAAAAACTATTTCATGTGTATAATAGGAAAAAGGAAAACACACAACTGCACAAATTTTTAATTTCGCCACATCATTTCACTCGCAATGCATTCCTCTATAAAGACTGTTAAAAGTATTTAGGCGCAAATGTTTTCTCGCCTATAGATCCCAAAAACAAAATTTCATTCAACGCGCCGCTTCGCACTCGAAATGTAAAACATGCAAAAATCTTTTAGACAGTATATTTGAAGAAAAAGCGCACCAGCTTTTATACATGTGTATCACGTATTTTAAGAAATTTCCGCTTCTCGAAATGATGAGGAACTCGTGCCGAATTATTTGTTTTACAAATTTTACGTTTATAAAAAAAAATGTAATTTATTGTGTTGCGTCTCTTGTTGCAATTCTCACGGTATATACATATATATAGATATATATATATATATACACACATATATAAAAACGTTCTTTTTTTCTACGGAGAGAGAAAATCCTTCTAACGTATTGTGTGTAGGATGCGCTGTTCCTTTAGGATTACTTATTTAGCCTTAGTAGATCTGCCGCTTCGAAAACAAAAAAAAAAAACCATCTCTTCCCAAAGGATCTACTTGTCACGGTTCAAGTAGGAATCGATAAGACGATTGCCTTGAATTCCTGCGACGTGGTTTTTTATTATATTGTATTTTGTTATCATATGTCCTATATATGACGATAGTCGAGTTTAGAGCGTTAGGTTTTATAGATGCAGGAGTTTGAGGAAAACGGCCAAGAGAGAGAGAAAGAGGAAACCAAAACATAGTTTGTACATATTATACAATGTAACAATTTCATATATATATTATACATATGTAATAATTTGTTATTATTGTTAAATTTTTGAAAGGGAGACGCGCAATCAACAAGATTTATATTTCTACTGTGCGCGCCTCTCGATATTTGTTGTATAAGTCAAAAAATATCGAGTCTCTATCAATAATTTTTTAATTCTCCTGGATCGGTTTTTACTTAAAGCATCTCTCCTCACGCTCAAACGCACTGCGGACGCGTCTGAGCTCTGCGTGCGTATATACTGTACACGTGTGTTCATACACACAAACATACATAACACACACACGAGTATTTATGTATATAGACGAATTTTTACGCGCCAAACTTTTGTGCTCGGAATTTATCGCATTTCTGTTTTCTTTTTTTAATTTTGTTTTAATTTCATATATATTATATATTCAATGCGTCCTTTGATTTCAATTTTATTTTTCTCACTACTTAACCGCCCATTATCCCTTCGCTCTGTCCGTTTGAATAAAATCGTAATCAGTCGTGTCGTTTTGTAAGCGCGACGGGACGATTGGAAAGAAAAATTGACAGCGCGCGAAAGAAAGGGGGAGGTTACGAGGAGATTTCGATTCTAGCGTAATAGAAGTTTCCCATCCAATATGGATAATCAGATCAGAATCCCCCACTTACGTGCCGCGGACTTAATTGAATTTCTCTGCGAATTAATAGTTACGTTTTTCGATGACGATCCTGAATAAGAACGGTGAATTGAATATTTTCTCTGATCCCTTTTTTTATGACTCTTCGGTTGGCAACCGAATGTAATGATATTTTTAACTCGCACAGTAGAAGAGAAAGATACAGTCGGATGAAAAATGTATTATTACTACGCAACGGGAGAGTGACCTATATAGATTTTTCATTTATTATTCCCCTGATGTTTCATGTTATATTCTGAAACATATATATATATAACAACATTCTGTTGCGTTCAATCACCAAAGCAGGTTACTCTCTTTTTTTCGTTCTTATACTACGTTTTTATGTCAATCCGATACTTTTCGCTACTGCATTATTCATTTTTCAATAGTGACCAAAGCGTTCTACATTTTTAATTACCTTTTCTCCCCTTCCTCATCCTCGCGCAATATATATTTTAAAAGAATGAAATTTTGTATTTTTTGTCTTTTATCGCGCGAGTAAATCGATATAAAGCACGTATATGCGCGGCATGGTGAATATTTCAGACTCGCGCATCGGCAATCGATGACGAAACAAAAACTTCCTTCTTTTCCGTTCAATTAAATCCTGGTCTTTAAGTACTGTAAGACCTGCGCGCGCGCGACTTCTATCCGGACTTAACTTTTAGGATTAAGTCGAATAATTAAAGAAAAAGAAAACTTGGAAAGAGATAATTGTCCGTTCTCTTCTGCGGAGGGTTTTATTCTTTGTTAGGTTGCAGAAGTCTGTTTACATCCGTTTTACGAATAATCGATTCGCAACGATAACGAACAGTTTTCCCCTCAGGCGATTATTGTCGCGTTGCAAATTTCGTCGATCATTTTAAAGGTCGTTTTCTTTCGCGAATCGAATTTGAATGAAGTCGGTCTTCACTTCGCGCAGAGAGTGATAGCTTGTAGCGTTGACTGTGGCAATGTGTAACGTAACTCTCTAAATTTTTTCGAGTGAGATCTCACTCGGAGCGATGATGAAAAATACTCCCACTCGTGATTAGTGAAAATAAACTTTTCACAAAAAGTGAATTTGTTTGACTCTGACCGTAGAGAGAACGTGTCACTCGTTCCGAGCGAATTTATTTTTTATTGCAAAAATAAATATTTATTCTTGTAATTTACATTCACTCTTTGAGCGAATTTTTCGGTTTTATTCTAAATCGTACAGAAAAAACCGTGGTGAAAAATTACCTCGACTAAAAACTCGAAATCCGGAATCTCCGCTTGTCGGGTCGGTGGGTGAATCTACTGATTCAGCTACTGAGATTCTTGACGACAATTATTGCCAAAACCACCTATCCAAAGCGGACGCACTCACATTCACTCTTCACACGAAAATGAAAAACTTCCATTTCACAATATACAGAGTTAAAATGATCACTCGACGACACGCGGTATGAAATATTTATTTTACAACAGAAAGTGGAAGAATTTACTTTGAAAATGAAAAGTCACTCCGACTCTCTGAGACTGACTTGCTCTATTTTTCTAATATTTCATTTTTTTACTCTGAAAAATTTAGAGAGTATTTTTTTCTCATCTAAAGCCATGACATTGCGCTTACGATGCGCAAATAATGTAAAAATCGATCTTGACGATAATTATTTCGTATATTTGTTAGAAGATGTACATAAAATTTTCGTTACGTCCATCGATTGAGAGTTCCAGTACGCGTGTACACACGTGTGCACTTGATCGTGTTAACGCGCCGAATTTGTTCTGCGTGACGGTTACGTATATATGTTACAGAGACGAAAGAATGTTTTCGCGCAAATTGTTTTCCTTTGTTTCGTTTTTTAAACATGCGCGTACAACACGCGCGGTGATGATGCGAAGATCAATTTTCCACTCTCCGTGTTTGACTATCTCGTGCGAGTCTCTTGTTATACGGGCGACATCGAGATATTAATAATCAGATTGTTATAATTTATTTCTCATTCTCTGTCATTATTGCATGAGTAACGATCGAATAATCCGAATAGTAGTAATATTCTCCTCTCGCGAGGAAATTCTCAGTCAGAGGGAGAGAAAACACCGCACCGGAATAATACATATAATAGATATTAATTAAATTGAAAAAGTACTCTCTATCGGACAGAACTGGGTTAGTCGTAAGAAATAAAAATACAAAAAATAATAATAACTTAATAATTATTATACCTGCACGTGTAAAGTATCGTCTATGTAAAACACGTACGCTTCTCTACTGTGAAAGGTATTTCGGTGTCTGTCATTAGTGCTAAGCGAGCGAAAGACATTTCTTCCTTTTGCTGAAGCGAAAATCTCGAACGAACACGCATCACACGCGTAGAACAATGAAACTCTGCGCAATAAAAAAGAAAAAAAAAGAAAACTATCTGCAGCGAATTCGCATCTCTTTCTGGGACGGCGAGAAAGAGGGAGGAAAGGTCGATCGAGGTTTCCACAGCGTTGTCTAATTAGAGATATGTTTTCACACAAAGCCTACAACCAAATATATACGCTCTGTCTCTCTCTCTCTTTCTGTGTGTGAATCCCTCGTTCGAGATTTTTGCGGACGGTCTCCGTCTTGGATGTAAAGAGTCGATTATAATATTGTAAGAACAGCGCGCAAACAATTCTTCATGACAATATCGTTCCGCAGAAAAAGAAAGTCGCAAATTTCAATATTCCGCAGCTGCTGCAACGACAACGGGTGATTCTCGCCCTCCTCCTCTCTGTCTATCTATCGATCTCTCTCCGCTTGTCTCTCTCTCTCTCTCTCTCTCTCTCACTCTCACTCTTTCTACTCTCTTGATTCTCTCCGCGCAACCTTCGTCAAGCGTTTTGCGTCGTGCGAATCGCGCGTGTCGATGAAGCAGCTCGGCTTATAACGACCGATTCGCGTCGATCCTTCGGCCACGCGGGAATCGAGGTAAGCAGCAAGCGCTTTCTAGTGTGAGTATGTGTGTATGTGTGTGTGTGCAAGTGTGTGTGTCGTGTTGCAAATGTAAAGAAAGCCGGACGTGAGAGGTGTGCATCGATGTTGTACGTATAATACTTGGCCGAATATATATTTTCTGAGAAATACGCTTATTACAATAATATAAGTAAATTACGCTCGCTGTGTGTGTGTGCTGTGTGTACACACGAGTGTTGTTTTTTTTTCGCGTGCGTGTGTGGCTGCGTGTGTGATCGCAAAAATTTCGTGTCCGATTCCCGTTTCGCCGACGAGAAACCGTGGCCGATTCCTCTCGGATTATGATATCGCGTTGATCGACAAGGATACACGCATATAATATATATTTTTGCTTTAAATCTCGCACACGATCGCGTAATTTAAGTTTGCTTCGTGCCGATGCGGAGAAGGATATGGTTTCTCGACGAGGTCAACGCAATTTCCCGAAGAACAATCAAATTCAGACAGGAGAGGAGAGAGACGAGAATGAGAGGCAACTGAAGAGAGCAAACTATAATACTTCTCAGTGATCATTAAAAAAAAAAAAAAAGATGTCGATATTAATGTTCTTCCCGTATAATAATCTTGATATGTAAATCTAAGCACGACAGTGAGCAGGACGTCTGCCGAGATCACTTCAACTATATCGATATATATTGTTACATAGAATATTTTATATCGGAGAGTATACATAATATATATACACACATATATATATATATATATACATATATACATATATATATTTTTCTGTACGTTTTGTGCTTACGAAAAAGAGAGGTCGCTTTACTAAAAATCTCTAAAAAGAAAAAACACTGTTTTCAATTAATCCGTCTAAAATGAAATTACAATTAAATTATATAATATATGTATATTTAGAGACGTATAAAACGGAGCGAGATATATTAGACATCCTGCTCGTTATATTTATACATGTGTGTGTTTGTAGAGCAAAGAGCCGGTATATTATACATATATATGTATAGCAGCGGTACACTCTAAATTCTTGAACGAACGGATCTCTTCCTCAGCGAAAATTTCCGTCTCGAATTCGTTAAAAATTATTTGTTGTAAATTGTTTAGAAATTTCCGTGTGTGTTACGTATAAAAAAGTTTTCGACGCGCGCGCGATCGCGATATATATATCACACAGGTTTTAATTTCCGCTGAGAAGAAACATCCCGACCGCGACTCATCTCTCTCGCTTTGCAAGATCCATACGCACTTCTCTCTCTCGGATTAATCTCTGTACACATACCATATTTTTCTTCGAGGTGAGAACAAAACGTGTGTGTGTTTGTGAGAAAGAGAGATCTATACATATATGTACCGTATATCGTAAATAATGCATATAAAAAGATATATATAAATGTGTATACATATATAAATATATATAAAGTATATGTTTGTGGATGTGTGTTCGGTATGTGATCGCGTGTGTGCGTATGTACGTGTGTACGTGTGTGTGCGTAATCGTTCACTGCAACGTTCGACCGACGTCAGCGTTATTTCTCGCGCGATGGCACGCTTGATCGAGAAACGGACGCG